AAAAAAAAAAAAAAAAAAAAAAATCAAGAAAAAAACAAACCCCTACCAAAGAAACAACAAAAAAAAAAAAAAACCCCACCCCCACCAACACTGGCAGGGCAAGCTACTGTATATAAACAGAGAGCAAACCCCACTCCATTCTAGCACTGAAGATGTTACCTAGATAGGTAACAAAATGTTTGCAAGAAAACAACCAAGCTCAGAAAACCCCAAGGACTTCTCAGTTCAACCCTGAGCTACAGTATATATATTCTCTTCTCTCAGTATTACCTTTCTAGATAGTCCTATGAGTATTAAAATGCTATATGTTTTGATATAAAACATTTGGAGGATATACAGCTTGGGGACCCATTGCCAAGAGTTAATATGACACTAGATCACAAACTGCCTTTTGTCACTGCTCTGTTTAGGATGGTTGGAAACAAATCCATTTATTTCAGCTGCTTAAGCATGTCATTGTTGATTCTTCATTATTGTCTTTTGGTTGTGCAAAAGGGTTAACTGAGTTTGTATTCTTGTTATTGTACTTTTGAAATGTAGTAATATTCTCTGTATCAAGTATACAGTATTTTCTGTCTCACCTTGATATACCCAATTTCACAGCCCAATATATGCATTATCAATTAATCTGCAGTATGAACTAAATAAAACCTACTTTCTATAACATGTTTTTTAAAGGTAAAAACTGAGTGTAGACATTGTTTTTAATACATTTACACCAGCCTTCCCCAACTTATTACTTCAGATGTGTTGGACCTTGCTGACTCAGGATGGCGAGCGATATACCCTTATGCATCTAAAAGACACCAGATTAGAGTAGACTTACACGTAAAACACAGTCCTTTATTCTAATGTTGGGAAAGCATTTGATTGAACTTCTTTTTGCTTTGTAAAAACTTAGAGAAATTCTAAATTCTAATACTCCAGCATTGTTGAGTATTAATTAAATTCTAGCACTGTCTTGAATTTGCTTATTTATTCTGATACTGGTCAAATAATAGTGTATATGTAGAAGTTATAGTAAGAGCATACTGGAGCTTAGTTTAGCTTCCAAAATAAGCTGAGACTGTTAAAAATAGGTCATAATGTAGAACTACTGAATCTGAAATTTAGTGTAAAATCATTCTACGTTTAGTTTTTAAGAAGCAGTGCAAAAATACATTGTGTGTATATATTAATGGTTTAACAACATGCAAATCAGCATTTGTTGGGTTTTGAATACCTCACTATATAATTCTTTTAACAGGAATATATATTATATACTTGGCATAATAGGAAACCTCTGTGAGGTTCCATGTTTACTAGCAATGTTTCCTTTTAATAATGAAGACTTTCTGGGTCAGGATTATATCCCACAGACATTGCTGACTCTAAAGAGTAACTCCATTTGGAATTAACATTTTTACATATTCAGACTATCTGAATTTTGAAGGTTGGTAGGTTTTTTATATAAGCATGGAATATAA